GGCAGGGCATAAGCGGCCCCAGGGGGCCACCTATGCCCTGCCCCCCAGCTCTTAGCTCCCCCCTGGGTTTCCAATCACTGTCAGTGGCAGGGGGCTTCTTCCTGCTTTCCCTTTCGCCTTCCTGCATTGTGCCTACATATGCAAATTAACCACCATCTTGTTGGCAGTTAAGTGCCAATCTTAGTTGGCAGTTAATTTGCACATAGCCCTGATTAGCCAATGAAAAGGGTAGCGTCATACGCCAATTACCGTTTTTCTCTTTTGTTAGTGTAGATTGTCATTATTCTCTTCTATCTCTGTGGTTCTAATACCAGCCAAAGTGAAGAACTAAATTACACACACACAGACACACATAAGAATATTAAGGGTCTTTGTTTCTTTCTTGGGATGCTTTGCAAATACTTTGTAGAGATAAACAAGGTCCAGTTTTGAAGGTTTAAAACTTTGGTGGTGCTGTTGGTTTTTTAACTTGCGAGGAAAGCTTGTAAAAAGTCTCCACTGCCTACATATTTTGGGATACAGGAGAAAGGAGGAGGGTCTTAGAATTAAGGGTGAGGTTAGGAATAAGGTTGCCATTGACAAGTGGGAGTTTATTGGGTGGGAGAGGCTTACTGAGAGGGGTAATGGAGGGAGACTTTTCAAATATGGCTAAAATACTTCTGAATCACATGAGTGTTAGGCTTGCTTAAAATTCTAAATTTTCTATGACACTGTGGCTGATCTCTTGATTCTTTTCCCTCCTGGTTCTGCTAATGTGTTTTTTCCTTCCTCTGGGGGTGGTGAGTGGTCTATAAATAATATCTTATGTAGAGCTTCCTCTGATCTCTGCCCTTTGTTCTCATGTTTAGTGAGCTAGGTGAGCGTTTAGCTTTTCTAGGTAAACATTTTTCAATCATTAAACCTTTGGGTGAAGAATGTAGAAAAACAATTTTTTAAACCCCTCTGTTGATCTTTTTCAATATCTTTTAGAAGGTTGAAGTGAGAGAAAAAAAAAAGCATTTTTCTTTGGATCATGCTGAATAGCAAAATGATAATGCTTTCCCTTTTTATTTAATGCATATTTTTAACCAGTGTCTGAAGAGTCTATATGTGTAATATGTGGGACATAAAAACTGTCAAGTGTGTTTTGCTCTCATTTCCATTAAGCTTTTTAAATATATATTACTAAGCTATCAAAATGTCTCAGAAAGAAGAAGCTCTGAAGGAGGGTTGTTTGTTCTGTTGCTAAGGTTAATAGATCTGTTATAAGAAGAAGATGTGTAGTTCGTTGAGTTTCTGTATCTTTAAACACATATGAAGCTAGATTTTAAGGAGGGAAGAGAGATCAGCTGAGAAATATATATTAAAGTAAGACATAGCAACATGTGCTCACCCTCTTTAGGCATTAAAGGGGAATTTTATATTCATGTGACCACTTTACACCATGTTTTTCAAATAGTTAAGATAAATATTGGTATATAACTGATATTTCACCTTCTATAAATTTGCTTCGTGAATTCACAACAGAATTCACATAGTGGTGGCTATTTTTACCCATAGTAGGCTCTACCTACATGGATAAATCTGTAATGCATATTTTTCTACCTTATTTTAAAAAATTTAGTTAAATCATTCTTAAGGATTTTGTGGTTACTGATAGACAGATATAAAACCTTTGGTTCTGCCCTAACTGGTTTGGCTCAGTGGACACAGCATCGGCCTGCTGACTGAAAGGTCCCAGGTTCGATTCCAGTCAAGGGCATGTACCTTGGTTGCGGGCCCATCCCCAGTAGGAGGTGAGAAGAAGGCAGCTGATCGGTGTTCCTCTCTCATCGATGTTTCTAGTTCTCTATCCCTCTCCCTTCCTTTCTGTAAAAAATCAATAAAATATATTAAAACACACACACACGCACACACACACACACACCCCTTTGGTTCCTTTGGGTTTGTTTTCTTTCTCTCTAATATTAGGGAAAGGTGCACACTACTGACTCTATTTGGTGTATTTTTTTATAATTTATCTTTATTGTTGAAAGTATTACAGATGTCCTCTTTGTTTTTTCCCCATTGACTCCCTCTACAATGCACCTGCCCCTCCCAGGCCTTCAACACACTATTGTCTATGTCAGTGGGTTATGCATATAAATTCCCTATTTAACTCCCCCCCCCAAAAGCAACAACAACCAAAACAAAAACTAATTAATGATATAATAAGGTTTTAAGACTCTAGGAAAGGAGGCATTTTGGTAGTGCCGATGGGGGTGGAAACAGAGGGGTTGATGTTGCCATTTCCAAGGTAAGTTAGAACACTTTTAATTGCTATTCATGATTCTCATGTTCCTAGGTGGATTAAATTTGAAGAAAAAGTGGAAGAGGGTGGGGAGAGATGGAGCAAGCCCCACGTGGCCACATTATCCCTTCACAGCTTATTTGAGCTGAGGACGTGTATAGAGAAAGGATCCATCATGCTTGACAGGGAGGCTTCTTCTCTCCCACAGTTGGTGGGTAAGTATGTTGCTTTAAGTTCCTATCATTTTTTCATTGTTCCCTACCTATTCATGAGTTTCCATCAATGCCGATGACTTCTAGTATAAGCAGAGGTGAATATTCTAGAGCATTTATTCTCTCTCTTTTTATGTTATAAAACGAATAAGGTTTTTTGCAGAAAATTTGGAAAATACAGACATATTTTGAGAAGAAAATTTAAAAAGTCATTCATTGCACCTAACATTTTGGTGTGTTTTCATCAGTTTTGTTTCTCAATCTTCTCTCTTAATGCTTTTTATTTTTTAACGTTATTTTATAAAAATTAATATTGTGATTATACTGTATGTATATGCATTTATTTCTGGTATTAATATTTGGAATGGAGTCTCCACCCAATTTTTGGTTATATTGGACTGGATGTCTGGATACTAGATTTCTAGAAGTCTTTGACCTTAGACATTGAACTGCTCTGGGCCTCAGTTTTGTTGTCTGTATAATAGGGTTTAAATCCTCTGTAGGAAGGAAAACAGTCTAGTTCCTGGGTTGGGGCTGATTTCGTAGACAGAAGTCAAAGTTCGTTAGCTGTACGTAGAGAAAAGTTGTGTGGACAAGAAGCCAGCAGAACCTTATGGGTTAGTGACTGAGTCAGATCAGGTTAGTTCTGAGTGCCATTTGAACAACCACCCGCAAGTTGCAGGGCAGCTTGGGCATCTTTTGCAATTAGAGTCATTTGAACAACCTCCCGCAAGTTGGTAAACCTAACGGTGCAGGGCAGCTTGGGCATCTTTTGCAATTAGAGTTGTGTAGTGAATGTTAACTCACCATGTAGAACATCTTGGGCACACATCACTACATTCCAGACAGTAGTATATGTTTTTATTTTCTAGCAGAACCAGACGTATGGCCTAAGTGGCCTTAATTACCCTTCAGATCTGGTTGTACTGAATAACAACATAAATGTGTTGCTCATTGAGCACACCTTCAAAAACAGGTACAGGGGCTCTGCCTGTTATTCCTGGGAAAATTCCACGACCAGGTGACCATTGGACCTGTTTGGATGCTATGCTTTCCCAAGGGGTCTTTAGGATCCCTACTTTGCGATTATGGGGAAAAGGATGTGGATCATGGCTCTACAGAAAGGGACTAGTGTAAAATTTCTGTGTAATTTCAGATTGCTGCAAAAGTTCTTTGATTATCTTTAGACAAAAGGCTTGCCTATGACATCTGTGTCTTTATAGACACTGGGGAGGTTATAGCACTTACACTGGAAGAAAAGATTTGTTGTCAGATGAGGCATCTATCTAGCTGATATATATGTATTCCATTCTTCTTCAGAGAGCTTGTTAGATTTGCAAAGAAACCCCTTACTTTTCATGCATCTGATGTATTGAAGGTGCATGAGAAAGGAGAAAGACCAATGGGAAGATGCTGGGTGCACAGAATTAATGAGTTCATGCATTTATTCAGCAATGATGTGTAAGCTTCTGCAATGTGCCAGACACTGTTTCAGGCCCTGGAATTAGGTTTGCAAATCTACCACTTTGTAAACGGGATACGTTATAAATCCATGTCTGTATGGGTAGTTAGAAGATAATGTAGGAAATACAGCTCTGAGTAGAATTTTTCATATTTGACAAAGCAGATGAGTCTGAAATGGACATTTGATATATGAGGAGAGATCTTGGATTATTTTACCAAGGGAAGGTAGGGCCCATCTACAAAGACAGAAGCATATGGAAAGGCAATTTGTTCCACTGTCTTTTTTAAAAAGTAAATTGAAATGTTACTTTCATGTTGTTTGGGTTATTAAAAAAAAGATTTTTATCATTGGAACTTTTGTGGCTTTCAAATTCCATAGCTGAATGATGGTTACTTTAGCCAAGTGATTCTTTGAGGTAGATAAATGTAAGGATTCTTCCTTCTTCTGCATCTTGACAAGAAGAATGTAAAATCAGAAACATTAGGATTCTAAATTGAATAAAGGCATCCACATTGTATGTTCTTTACTTTTACAATGAGGGATACGTCAGCTTTTCTTATACAGCATTTTATGAATAAATTAGGATAGAACCATAAGTGATCTCAGTGATACAAATACAACTCATGCTTCAGTAGAAACAGAAACATGGAGAACAAAAACGTGTCTCCTAACAGAATAATTTGCATATTGACGATTTAAGGTTTTATAATTGCATAAGCACCTTACAGAGCTGAAAGCATCCTAAGTATCAGGCTGCCAGGATTGTTTCAAGCATCTTCCTTAATGGCCTACTGGCACTACAATGCACTCTTATACATGTGTATCACTCTTCACCCACTAACTTTTTCTCATTTATTAAAGTCTGCATGAGAGAGTATCTAAAAAAGTGTTATGGTTAGCAAAAATCAATCCAATTTTTGAGTGAGAACTGCAATCTCTCTATTCTTAGACTTTAAGAACTCACCTGGAGCAAAAATGTCTGAAGTCAGACAAGTTGCAAAAATACATCGGAAATGCATACATGCAGGGAAAAATGGACTTTAGTAAATTGTGTCCTGGCAATGCATAGGCAGTCTAAGGGGAGAAGATGTGTGTGGTTTAAAGGTCAGCAGAAAGGTTCCTGTATTAAAAAGAAAAAGTCTCACCATAGGCTTTTGTTACTGCCTAAAATGTCATCGTTTGGAGATTTATTTCACTGAGCCCAGAGAGTCCTATACTAAAATCTACTGCTGTCTGACAAAGGCCCTATATTAATTCCATGAGACATAGAGTGGTGTTGTAGAAAGGATGGCGAGTTTACACTTGAAGAGGGTTTATAATGAAAGTCTACGTCTACTAGCCTGGATGACCGTGGGATGGACAAAGCAAGTTACTTAACTCTTTAGTGGTCTCAGTTTACTCCTCTGTAAAAGGAGGATGAAGGTGGACTTCTCAGGGTTTTTGTGAGAAGCAGATGAGGGTATCAGGTGTGATTATTATGTTCTTATATAGCTATGTCAGCATACATGAGTTTATCCAAACCTTTCTCCCTGTCACCCAGCAGAGGGCTGAGTGTAGACTGAGTCAGGTAGATGTTCAGGGACTTCATGAGCAGGAGAAAAGATTCTGAAAGGTGTAGTGGATGGACCTGGAAATAATTAACAGCTTCTGTGCTGTGCCTAGATGTGATATACAAAGGTGATGAAAGTTCAAGTGGAATTACATTCTTGGACTTTCTGTAAGACTGTCTTTGGATATTCATCACCAGAAAGGGTTATCTGTTCTCCGCAACTAACCAACATTTTAGTTGAAGTAGAGGACACTCTCCCACATTATACTGGAGCCTTGTTAGCCAGTGACCAGAGAGGTTCTGGTATTTACTACATTTAAGGAAGGCTCTCCAAGCATTCTGTGTTCTCACTTTAATTTTCCATTACCTTTTGTTACCAACTGTGAACTTTTTCTCTAACCTCCATGCATTTATTTAAAAAATGGTCATTAAATTTTAAAATCAGACACTACTAGGTCACCTTGTACTATCATCAGTTGGTAATAGGTTTACTCTGCAGTCCCTGGGGCGAGCAGGCAGAGAGGGCAGGGGTGCATTCTGGAACTGAAAATACAGAGAAACAAGACAGAGGCAAATAAAGAGGCAAAACCAAAACAAAACAACAACAACAAAAAACAATTCACAAGCAAAAGAAAGAAAAGAAAGGACCAGATTTGCAGGAGTGCAAGGAAAAGAACATATTTGAGAGAGTGTAACTGACTGAAAAGAAATACTTAAACATCTTCTGAAACAATCTAAACCTTGTAGAAAGTTAAAGAATATGAAGGGGGGAAAACCCTTATTTAATTTTATTTCATGTATTTATTTAGTTCTCACCCAAGGATATGTTTATTGATTATATATAAGAGAGAGAGAATGAAAGAAAGAGACAGAAAGAGAAAAAGGAGAGAGACTGACTTTATTTTAAACGACAGAAGATAGAATGGTAACTTGAAGAGTTATTGTTATTATTTGGTTATCAAAAAGTTATTCTCTTTTTAGCAGAGGGTGGAGTTGTTTTGTCCTGAATTGAGTTGAGAATTATGTGCAGCTAAGTCTTAATTAAGATACATCTCCCCTCCACCCCATTTATCTCAACAAGTGAGAAGAAAAAGTAATAATAACAAGTGTGATTATATCAAAGAAACAATAGCAAGATTTTTATCCTTTTTTGCAATCCACCTGCTACTCCTTCTTAGTGGCATCTGATGCTTCGAGTTTGCAGGCATGAAGAAATCTGGTCATGAGCAGAGGGAAACCGTTTAAGCAGTTGTTCCTTGTCACATGTGCATAAAAAGAAATTCAGCCCAATTCTGATTCTCCTCAGAGCCTCTTCTTGGTTTTTTTTTTTTTTTGGCAGAATCCCTTCTTTTTTTTTTTTAATATATTGATTTTTTTTACAGAGAGGAAGGGAGAGGGTTAGAGGATTAGAAACATCGAAGAGAGAGAAACATCGATCAGCTGCCTCTTGCACACTCCCTACTGGGGATGTGCCCACAGCCAAGGTACATGCCCTTGACCAGACTCGAACCTGGGACCCTTGAGTCCGCAGGCTGATGCTCTATCCACTGAGCCAAACCGGTTAGGGCCAGAATCCCTTCTTAAAACTAGTAGAAAATTTTGTCTTTAAAGTATTTATAGGATAAACACTGATTATTTTTTTAAAATATATTTTATTGATTTTTTACAGAGAGAAAGGGAGAAGGATAGAGAGTTAGAAACATCGATGAGAGAGAAACATCGATCAGCTGCCTCCTGCATACCTCCTACTGGGTTTTTGCCCGCAACCAAGGTACATGCCCTTGACCGGAATCAAACCTGGGACCTTTCAGTCCACAGGCTGACGCTCTGCCACTGAGCCAAACCGGTCAGGGCAGATTATTTTAGTAGCTTTATTATTACTATCATCATAATTCTACATTTAAAGTGTCATTCACATATGAAGCAAGTACATTGGTATTTTCCTCCCCTCCTAAGTTAAAAAAAACTATGTCATTTCTGGTATTTTATTATGATGGGACATGGATTAGGAAAATGTAGCTCTATTTTAGGAGTTCTCATTTTATATTTAAAGGCGTTCCTGAGCTATGGCTGTGGGCAGATGTGTTAGTCGTTTTCTTCTTTTACATCTTTTATATTTTCAGGATAGTAATATACTTATGTTTTATTACAAATCTATGTTCATTTTTAACCGTTTGGCTGCTGACGTATTTTTTCGGACATATGCCAAAACTGCGGCACTAATTGCGCATATATGGGAAAAAATGTAAAACACTTTTTATACAATAAACTCACTTGTATTGCTTTGCAACAACAAAAATTAAAAAATGCCAATTGTTTACAACAATTTGTTTTAAATAAGAAGAGCGCGATAGTGCTTCTTAGCAGTCAAACGGTTAAATAATCCAGAAAAATATAACACAAAAGTCAAAATACCACAAATCTGATCCTGCAGAGCTGTCCTCCTGCAATTTTTCTGTACGTTTCCAGATAAGAAATTTATTTTACAAAACAGGATCATACTATTACACTATAATCTGCCTTTTTCTAAACTCAAAAACCTAATACAGATTTTCTTTCCAACTCATTAAATAGAAATATAAACATCATTTTAATAGCTGCAAAATACTTAAAAATCTATTATCGGGCATTGAAGTGCCTTTAAGATTTTATTGTAAAGTAAAGAAGTGACGCAGCTGATGTGGCTCAGTGGTTGAGGGTTGACCTGTGATCCAGGAAGTCACAGTTTGATTCCCGGTCAGCGCACACATCTGGCCTGTGGGCTCGATCCCCAGTGTGGCAGCCAATTAATGATTCTCTCCATCATTGATGTTCCTATTTCTCTCTCCCTCTCTTTCCTCTCTGAAATCAATAAAAAGATATAAAAAATAAATAAATAAAGGTCACTCAGGACTGGGTCCACAGACATCAGCTTAAAAAAAAAAAAAGAAGGGAACATTTTTGTCCTCTTGTGAAATTGTTTCTTTAATATAGATTTCCAATGGTGACATATTCAAAGGGCTTGAACATTTTATTATTATGTATTTATTTTTATTTTTTATATTTTATTGATTTTTTTACAGAGAGGAAGGGACAGGGTTAGAGAGTTACAAACATCGATGAGAGAGAAACATCTATCAGCTGCCTCCTGCACACCTCCTACTGGGGATGTGCCTGCAACCAAGGCACATGCCCTTGACTGGAATCAAACCTGGGACCCTTCAGTCCGCAGGCCAATGCTCTATCCACTGAGCCAAACCAGTTAGGGTGGGCTTGAACATTTTAAAGGGTTTTGTCATGTGGCTGCGGGCGCCTTCAGGACAGGTTGTGCTAGTTACTACACTCATCATCGGTATATGGAATTGCCTGTTGCATGCATCCTTCATGTCATCAGGAATTTGCCTTTTACATTTTGCTACGTTAGTAGATTAACAGATACCTTGTAATTGGTTGCATTGTAACAAATTTGTTCAAATTGTCTGTTAGTTTTGGAGTTAACTAATGTCTTGGGTGTTTGTATTTCCTTTAAGAATGTCTCCTTTGGCTTTTTTTTTCTTTCCGTTGCATGGCCATCTTTCTGTTGGTTTGCAGAAGTTCTGCATGTATCAATACTCTTTTTGGTTTAGAGCAGTGATGGCGAACCTTTTGAGCTCGGTGTGTCAGCATTTTGAAAAACCCTAACTTAACTCTGGTGCCGTGCCACATATAGAAATTTTTTGATATTTGCAACCATAGTAAAACAAAGACTTATATTTTTGATATTTATTTTATATATTTAAATATACATTTAAAAAAGAAAAATCAACCAAAAAAATGAGTTCACGTGTCACCTCTGACATGCGTGTCATAGGTTCGCCATCACTGGTTTAGAGCTTCCTTTTCAAATAAAGAGAAGTATTGTGTGATATGGAAGAAAATCTAAACTCTGAGTCAGAAAACCTGGTTTTATTTTGGGGTATTTTGCCTGTAATTAGCTATGGCTGTGAACAAGTCTCTCTTGCCCAGTCTTTTCTCATCTGTGGAACAGGAGGTTGAACTGGACGCTCTCTGAGATTCCTTGCAGCTCTGCTATCATGTAGGGTTGGCACATTCTTTCCCAATTGGTAACGTCTGTGGAGTTTTGACACTGAAGGCTTAATTTCAGTGTAGCTATGAGATGTTACTGCCCCCACTTTCCTTGAAAGGTTTTGTAGTTTATGCTCAAAGAGTTCCCTGTATGGTGGGCCATTTTTATGGAAACTTAATGAAAGGCATAAGCCACACAGATGTTTTAACCTGTGCTAACTGGTGATTTCCAGGAATTACTAACAGGGCTGGCTATGCTGATGTAGGCTTGGTTTGAGATTACAAGGGAGGGCAAGAATAGAGGGAGGTCCTGCCAGGAAGGGTAGATAAGAAACCCTTTAATCCACAACCCTGGCATTAGAGTAGGAGTTTGATAACACTTGCAGCAGATATGCTGGGGCTGTTTGTTTATTTTTGTGGTTCCTCTGTAAACTGGACTTTCCACATTGAACAAGACTTAAAGGGAAAGTAGAGGAGTGGTGTTTAGTAGCACCTAATTACTTTTGCTGTGGAGCAGAGGGTTCATTGCAATTACAGAATCAGTTCTGAGTTTGTTGAGCATGGTTTGCAGAGTTAAAAATGTTCAGCGCTAAAGGCCATTGTCAAAGCAAAAATTCCGATGGGAGAGACTCTTCCTGCTTTGCCCAGGCTCCCTACCAAGTGGCCCAGCGTGATGTGACACTTACGGCATCTGTGTAAGGCACATGATGGAAAATCTGGATTCTGCCTCTGTTTGGCTCCCAACTAGTTGATTGTACCCTGTGTAAATCATTAGTTTCTAGTCCTCGGCGGTGAGGCCAGGTCTGTGAGTGCTTGCTTTGTACAGGTGAGCTGCTGAGAGGTGCGGTCATGCCCCAGCCACCCCCCTTGAATATTCCTAATTTTAAAAAAGGTTGGGAACGCTTGGTAGATGCTGTTATCCTAACAGCTCTGGCCAATTTTCTTTCATTCCCCTCCCCCCTTTATTTTATTCTATTTAATTTTTTTCCCCATCACCATTTATCACTCCTAATACCCTCTTCCATCTCCTCCCTCACCCCCTGTCAACCACACTTGTCGGTGTCCATGAGTTCTTTCTGTTTTTTTTTTCTTTTTTGCTCAATCCCTCCTCCCCCCACCCCCCGCCTTCCCCCACACAAGAGCTGTCTAGGAGTCTGTCTCTATTTTACTTGTTAGTTCAGTTTGTTCATTAGATTCCACAAATGAGTGAAATCATATGGTGCTTGTCTTTCTCTGACTGGCTTAGTTCACTGAGCATAATGTTCTCTGGTTCTATGCATGCTGTCGCAAAGGGTACATTTTTCTTCCCTTTTTGCAGCCGAGTAGTATGGAGCTTTGTTTTCTTCTCCGTTTTTGTAAACTGAGAACTTTGCCCAAGGAAAATATTGATACGTGCTAGCTGCACCCATGTACCTGAAAAGGTGGGCATGGGGTGCATTCTTCTGGTTCTCTGCAGGGACAAAAACTCTACCTGCATATGCTGAGGTAGCGTCTGCCATTGCATGTCTTGCACAGATTCGGTGATGCTCTGTCCTGAGTCCTACTTTGGACAGAGGAAATGTCGAATTGTGATGTGATGTTAGAATGGGGTGCACCAGGCTACATTTGTGCTGACTTGTGAGAAAAAGGATTTCATATTTTTGAAAATTTTAAATTTTTTTATTTTTTTAAGTTACAGTTTATATTCACTGTTATTTTGTCTTAGTTTCAGGTATACAGGATAATGGTTTGACAATCATATTAACCAAGTGTTTCCCCTGATATTTCCAGTACCCATCTGGTACCATACAAAGTTATCACGATATTATTGACTATATTTCCCTTACTGTACTTTACATCCTAGTCACTATCTTATTTATGATTAGAATAAAACTTGTCCTTCAGCAGAGCCACCCATGGAGCAATTTCTATGAAACACAGTCATCTTTTCTAGTAAAAACCATTCCTAAAAAATGAACTAATAAAAAAATTAATTTTTTTTGGTAGTAAGAATAAGATATTAAAATTTCATAGAAAATTGTAGTCAGGTTATACCTTAAAATGACTAATGGGTTATATTGGATCTAAACAAGAATAGGCATCCCTTCTTAGATAAGACGAAGGCATAATTTGTAGTTTAATTGTTTTTATTGGATTAATTGGTATTCAAATAACCTGATATGGGGAAAGGCTTTGTTTTCCTTTCCTGGGTCCCATTATAAAGAGAGTAGAACACAAGAATTTGAGGAACTATTTTAAAACATCAGTAATGTCACTACTTTAAATTTTGCATATTCTCTAAGTTTTTTATATCATTTATATTGCTGGCACACTTGCCATGATAGAGTACATGAACTTTTCTAATCTTATCTTTTTTTCTTAATTGAAAAATGTAAATTGCTGATTTATGGTGTTACTCAGAGAAGAATTGATTAATGTGAATTCACTATTAAGTGGGATTAAAAAAATGAACAAGAATTTTTCCTCTCCAAAAATATAATTAATACCGGAATATTTATAGCTCTTACTAATGCCAATATTCCTGTACCTGTATCTTTACCCTTCTCCTAAGGTGGGAAGTTTGAAATTTGGAAAATAGTGTATTGATATTAAATTTGAGGATGACATCTCTAAAGTTCGAGTAATGAGAAGGCCTTCCTGGTCTTGTGACTGAGTTTTGTTTTTGTTTTGCTTTGTTTCTGTGTCAGATATGATTGTTGACCATCAGATTGAGACCGGCCTTTTGAAACCCGACCTTAAGGAGAAGGTGACCTACACTTTGCTCCGGAAGCATCGGCATCAAACCAAGAAATCCAACCTCCGCTCCCTGGCTGACATCGGGAAGACGGTCTCCAGTGCAAGTAGAATGTTTGCCAGCCCTGACAATGGTAATGCAGGGCCGCCTGTCTGCTGCTCTCTTTACCAGTCTCACCTCTCCTCCACCGCTTGTCATCTTTTGTTTAAACCCCTTCTCCATACTTCTTCTTTGCTCAAGGTCATGTGCCACAGCCATTTCATAATGACACTTTTTATCCAGTTGGGCAGGTTTGCAGTCCCGTTGGAAAGATTGCGGTGGCGGTTGCAGGCTACAGATGCCAACATGCCTTGCTTGCTGCATATACATCTATTCTGATGGACTGGGATGGTTTGGTAATAACGTTGTGATGAAACAACTGAGATGAATCAGCGAATGTGTAGGTTATTGAGGACATCAAGGAGTATGCTTTCGACATGGTAGTTTGTCAGAATTAGGACAGACTCGCACATGAATGCTCTGAGATCTCTTACAGTGAAGTATTTGCTTGGGATGTGAGCTGGTATCCAGCCTGTAGATGATCATTCATCAAAATAAGGCGCACTATTATCTTTCTACTGAAACACACAATCTGTTCTTTTGTTATGTGATAATGAGAGCTAAGGAGAATGATGGTTCCAGGTGGGACATTAACCTCATTATATAGCAATATGCAAGACTGTCTTATTCATATTCTGTTGCATTCACCAGAGTTTTCTGTAAGGGGTCTGTCTTCTGTGTCATTGTGTTTGTTTCACATGAATGTCATGATTGGATACAATCTGAGAAGGGAGAAGGTAATTTGTTTGGAGTACTGAAAAAATGAAGGCATGGTGGAAAGAGTTGCTGAGCATTGAGCTGGTAGAAGCAGGTTTCTCCCATCCCACCCCCAGTCGTTTTTTAGTATTAAGAGAAATGAGTAGATAAGTGAATGTAGCTAATTCACTGTCCTTAGCTACGTTTTCAGAATAATATAAAACATGCTGTCATGGAAAAGGTGGGCTAAGTGAATTTATAAACTGAATTCTAATTCAGCCACTCCGTTTCCGGAAATTTTAATATTTCTGACTGAATATTAAAATGAATGGTAGTCTGAAAGAAAGCTTTCCATTAGCAAACTTTTGAACGATTGCATTATTGTAAATATTAAAATGAATGGTAGTCTGGAAGAAAGCTTTCTATTAGCTATATTTTTTAACCATTCTAACCTTGTAGTTTCTCATGAGTGTTTAGTTCTTAAACAGACCCAAATAAAAAGTTGTTTTATGAAATGGGTTATTTTGTCAGAAATAAAATCAGTTACAAATAAAATAATTTAAATAAAAATACTGCTTATAAAAAAAATTCACAAAAATAAGAAATAAGATAATCTAGAACATTCCTACTACAATTTGATGGCCCTGCCATTACCTGGAATGTTACTGCTGACTGGAAATGTTTTGGTTTTTGTAGGTTTTTAAAAATTGTGTTTTTGGAGAGAGGCATTGTTTAGTGGCTGGAAATGTTATGGGATGAAGAAATTATTATAACTGATGTCACATATATTTCATTTTAAAAGCACCCCGTGTTTTTAAAATTGTGGCAATTAAAATAAATTCTGTCTTTCATATTTTATTTATTATTCTTTCTCTGGCATAAAATGAAATTCCATGATTTGGAGATAGTTTTCGTGTCATGAAGTTGGTGGTAGTATAAAGAAGCAAGAATATTGGTGTACTTGCAAAGAGAAGAGGAAATCGGGTATGACAGAGTGAGGTTGCCTTCTGCCAGTGTGGTGTGATCTTCATTTTCATAGATGTCCAGGCAGCGTAGAATTAGGAACAGATGGGTCTTGGAGGCCAGCATCTTGTGCTTTGGGAGAAAGTATTTGGATGTGGAGTAACTAATGAGTTGATATCACTCATCACTCAGTCTTTTATCCTATCAGTAGGTCTTTGTACTTCAGAGGAAAGTTGAAATTGCTCTTGTCACTCACCTTTTCTCTGGTGAAGGGCTATATAGCTGGGCAGAAAGCAAATGGGAAGGGCAGGCAGTTCTCCTCCTTTCTGGCTCTCCACTTACCCTAAAGCATGGGATTCAAGGAGGGCATTTTAAACATGTTATTAGTGACCGTTGTATTACGTCAATAATATTTAACTCCTTTTAAATAGCCAGAGGCAAGATTTGGCTTTGAGAAATTCTGTAGTAATGAATTTCATGTGCTTCCAGGGTGGTGCACTCTTACAAATGAACAGATGGCTACTTGTTGGTTTTCTAGAGGCCCTTAACTTACAAGTTTATACAGTTACCTTAGTATATTAGGGTTTAATTACGTAATATTTTTAATGTTATGAAATATTCCTAGGATAAATTTCTAAAAAAAGAATGATGGAACTCTTGCTGCTATTTTAATAAAACAGAATCTTATATTTATTGTAGTTAGAACTAGATTCTGATAGCTCTATTTAAAACCTAGATAAACTTGTCATAGTCTAGAAGATAGATTCAGTGACACTGTCAACTTTAGTTCTAAGAGCAACAATGTAATTAGTAGCTGAAATTTATGAAGATACTGGAGAATCAGAAATTTTTTATTTTGCAGTGGTATACTGGAGCGACCTCTTGTCTACTAATAAGAGTCAGTTAACAGGAATTTTGTGACCTGGTTGTTATATACAGTTGTTAGTAAAAATTAACTTATATAAACATATCCTTGAATACTTATATTAAAAATGAAGGTAATAAAGACTCAAACTTTATTGCTTTCTACTTATTTTACTGCATTTTACTATAGTCTGTGCTCTTGAGGATTTTTACATCTACTGTGCCTGGATGGTAGCAGTACTATAAAATGATATGCTATTGTGCACCTCTTCCCAACTCTGTATTTAGTGACTGGTAGTATTCACACCAGATGAATCAGCAAAGGCTACAAATCAGGGCTAAGATTTATTGGTGATTGATTGTCTCTAGACTTAAAAAATGATGAAGAAAATGTTAATAATGCAGAGTCAACTTAAAAGTGTATGATGGCCATAGTTGCCTTAGCCACCTTGGCTGCTACAAGAAATCACCACAGACTGGGTGGCTTAACCAACTGCATTTATTTCTCACAGTTTTGGAGGCTTGGAAGGCTGAGATCAAAGTGCTGCAGATTTGGTATTTGCTGAGGGCCCTCTTCTCGGCTTGTAGATGGCTGCCTTCTCACTGCATTTTCACCTGACGGAGACAGATGACCTTTTTCCTGTCTTTCCTTGTAAGGACACTAAATCCCGTTCAAGATGGCTCTGCCCTCATGACTTGTTTACCACCCAAAGGCCCTACCTCCTAATATCATGACATTGGGAGGGTTAGGATTTCAACAGGTGAATTTGGGGAGGATACAAATATTCAGTCCATAACAGCTGTTAAAATGTGAATAGCACAAATAATTGAGGAAATATTCTTCTGATATTCAGAAACTATTATTATCCAGGTTAGCAAAGGAGTTACCAACATGATTGACAGGTGAGTGAAGTCTGACACGTGTCTTCATTGTTTTGCTTTTGTCTTGCTTGTTAGCATAAAAGATAATGGATGTTTATCATGGAACCTGGAACTATGCTTGTTTGCCAGTTGCCACTATAAGTTGGCTATAGATAAAAGAGTTTGGTGAAAATCAACACAAGCATTCTATGAGAATCAACTGGCATAGGCAGGCAATTTACACAAGATTATTGTGTATTTTATTATTATTCATATGTGTGCTGCACATTATTTATATCAGTAAAATTTACTACACACCACACACACACACACACACACACACTCACACACACACACACGTTTTTCTGCCCTGCTTGAGAGCTGTTTTCAAATATTTACCACTATGCTCACTACCAGTCCAAACACTGTCTATCCATAGCTAAAAACTAACTCTCATGTTTAAGGTCCTAATGTGGCTTGGAGTTCAAGACAACTTAGTGTTTTTTAAAAAAAGGTAAACGTTTTTATTTGTAATAAATTAGGGAAGAATCAGGCCAGCTTCCAAGATGTTAATTATTGTGAAATTGCTACTTGTCTGAGACATTTATGAGTTCTGATAGATGTGTCTGCCAAGTAAGAGACGTTAGGCAAGTGCTATTATTCCTCAATATATTAATTGAGGCATTTCTATAGAGTTAGTGTTTACTGAAGAAATTAATGAGGTTATCAATTTCTCTGATGGTGGGTTTTCCTTTACCTACTCTATTTCTCACTACTGTTTCAGGTTGAACTATATGAAATTGCCATTTTTGTGGGTAAGATAGACTTGACTGTTGGTAATTTCATATAGTTCTAATAATTTGGTCTGAGACACGTAGTTGATAGTTCTGTATTATTATGGTTTACTAGGAAAGAATAACATTTAAGCCTAGGACCATTCCTTGGTAGTATTTAAAAATCAAGTAACCAATTGATGTGTTTCTCTCACATCGATGTTTCTCTCTGCCTTTCCCTCTCTCTTCCACTCTCCCTGAAAATCAATGGAAAAACTTCCTTGAGTGAGGATTAAAATAAATAAGTAAGTAAGTAAGTAAGTAAGTAAGTAAGTAAGATGGATTCAGTTTGCTTTTTATTAGAAAGTGGAAGTTCCTACTTTTGGTTTGGTATTCATTAATACATATTAAGTTGTTTATGACAAGGCTACCTGATAATTCTGTTTTAAAAAGCCATGGTTTATAGGATGATCTGATTTTTAAAAATACCACTTACCATTTACATGGATACTTCTGATATGTAGGGTCTAAGCTCAGAAAAGATTAATGAGACCTGCCTTGAGGACCAGGGTCAACCAGAAACCAGGATCACTGCCTTTGTGGAAATTTGGGCAAAGCTGTCATCAATTTGTCCTAAATTATTATAAAAATCAGTTTCTTGTCCTTCCTGGTTGGGGAGTACCATACACTTTACTGGAAAGTGACTTTGGTTATCCAATCAGACCTATACTTTGAATTTTATTTTTCCTGAATACAATTTCATGACCCCATTTCATTTGTTTTTGAAGTAAAAATTTCTAAAGTAATTTAGTACTCAGTTTTAATATCTATAAAATCAAAGTAATAAAAATTTAATGAGATAATATATGTAAAATGT